AAACATATTGACCTTATTCTTCAATAAGGAAGTGTGCTTGTTTTTAGGATTGAGATCTTTCCATTAAATCACCAATGTAAGAAATGCATTCTGAAAATGTACCTCTATATACATTTCTGGAGAGCACCAAATACGTCCCAGGAGCTACATTTTTTGCAGTTTTTTTTCGCAAATCCACCAGAGGTCGCTGTGTATGCTTTTTGAGATCTCAGATATATTTTGCGAGTGCCATTTGTGCTTGCTGTTCTCCCGTAAATCTACCAGAGGCCACTGACGACTGACTGATCGATGGACTGAGTATTTTAAAAAGCATCGATTGACCTGCCCACCCACTTACCTAAACCCAACTGACAAACTTAAAAAGCAATCCACAAAAAGAAAAGCCCTGAATCTTACCACATTCTCAACCTGTAATTTACTTGTTTATTTTATTTTCTGGATTCAGTTTTTGTCTTTCTAGAACCGCACTTCAACAGACTCGAACCCTGTCATTGTGGTCATCTCCTGGTACATGGTGAGCTAACCTGACAAACTGGTAACAGCGGATAAGCGCTAACTAAGCTGGTAAGTGCGTAATCAAACTAATTTTTGATTAATCAAACACCTGAACAAGCTTATCAAGGTCTTATTAGGTATACTTGAAACATCCAGGCAGGTGTGTTAAGGCAAGTTGGAGCTAAACCTGCAGGGACACCGGCCTTCCAGGACTGAGATTGGTGACCACTGGCGTAAAGGAATGGTATCAAATCGCTCCATAGCATTTGTATTAAAAATGAAAATCAGCCATACATACTTCTGGCTATACAATTTGCGATCTCCAGAAATGTATTCAGGGCTACGTTTTCAGAATGAGCCTATGTTGCAGAAATGCCTAAAAATAATAAACGACAGAAAACAATTTTTTTACTATACATAAAAGTAGAATAATGGTATAATAAAATATCAGTTTTATCAGAGGAAGTCTCAAGCCAAAAAGTTTCAAATGGCTGCGCCCACTCGTATGTGAAGAATAAGGTCAATAGCACCCTGGTGCTCACGGCGACACGAGTTCGATTCCCAGCTTGAGGTCTTATGCCAACCCATCCCCTCTCTCTCTGCTGTCCTCCAATATACTATCCCAATAAAAGGTAAAAAGCCCCTAAAATGTGACTGTTAAAATTTGACATAAAAAGAGCATCATAACTTTATAATCAGGTACATTTTTTATTTATTTTGTGATTATTTTTACTGTACATCCACACCAAGTTCACATATTGCACAGAGCCGTCTGTGCTGTTTCACTTCTAAATGCTCTTTGGCTTGCTTTGTGCACTGTTTTATCAGGGTTTGTTCCACAGCTGAACAGCGGTTTTCTCTCCACGACAGCCACGATTCAAAAGAGCAAAGAGCAGAGCTTTATGTCAAACTCCAGGGTCAACATAGCTTTCATTCCTCACACAAGGTCAGAATAGTCAAAAAAAAAAGTAAAAATCCACTCAGGTTTCCCTTGCAAACAGGTGGCCATTTACAGAATGGAATCATTTGAGCCACTCCGAAACACATCAGGCTTTGACAAATTTATGGGGACTCGTGGAGAAATGCAGCACACTAATTAATTCAGTCACTTCTAGACATTTAGTAAACAGTCGCCTCCAATTCACCAGAGAGCATTTGGAGTAGTCCTGTGGAGAGAACACCACCCAGATTCATGTCAATATTGACAAACAGTCTATACTCAACTGCATATTTGTAAATGATTCTTGGCAAGAGGCTACAGCTCTTGCCATGGACACAATATTGCAGAAAATCCCCCACAATCCTCCTGAGAGTTTTCATAGTTAGTTGGGCGGTGAATAAAAACTGATAACCCCCCTCCTCCTTTATCTCTTCAATCTATCACTCATTCATTCAATTGAAGGACGTTTACTGTATTCAAATCGAAATAGAGCATTCCTCTCTGCAGTTCTAAAAGAACTTGTATTCTATTCTAAATAACCACGCATTCATCCAAGAATTGAATTACATCGCGGACACAATAGGACCTGCGAGGCGCTCGAACTTTGATATGGAATAACACAGCAGATACTCCAATGGATTGAACCGAACAAAGGTTAAATGTTTTTTTCTTTTTCAGATGCCTCAATGTCGCTGAATCCTTGGATGACAAAGCGTGCAATTATTAGCGGCAGGCGCGCTTACATATGTGTCTTTAAACTTCTTTGAACGAGGAGGAGTGAAATATTTTGTGCAGCATTAGTGCCCGACGCATTCAGCGTATTTAACAGAACAGGGCAGAATTTGCATAATGGGTTTTTTCTTATTCTCTTTGAAATCCAGAGCCGCGGAATAACAAATGTATATGAAATAGCAGGCAAACATCAATAAATGGAAATGCCACAATTCTCTGTGGATGGTCTTGGGTGGATTTCTGCTGGAGGAGGAAAAACAGCCAGCTTATTGCAAAATAAGCAGAAAAACGGATGTGATCAAACTCGTGCCCACCAGGCTCGCGAATGCGCACACGCACACACAGAGTTGCCCACCTCTCACTCGGTGTAATCAGATGCAGTGAGATGTGGCAGCTCCTGCTGTGGAGCTTTGGGAGGAGCAGCACGTCTCACAGGTGCTTTCAAAGAACAAGATACAGCAGTGGAGAGACTGTAATTACTCTCCAATTACAGATAAAGATCTCACTTGAGGGCTGCAACACAAAGTATCCTAACAGCCGTGCACATCCACTCACACTAGCACTCAAAAAAGTCCAATCAAGAGTGTCTTAGGAAATGTCCTCCGCAGGTACAATGACAATCACGGCCGTGGAAAGGACGCTTTTTTTTAATTGCTGCGCTTTTCGTCCTGACTCACATTGATAAACAGATAAACAAAAGGCCCACAGCAAAACATAAGACGAGATAAAGGTCTTGTTCTTATAATAAAACATCACCAAAATGATTATTTCAGTTATAGTTGCTAAAAATATAGAAATATATACATTTATCCTAGGCATCACGGTGGCACAGTGGGTAGCACAATCGCCACACAGCAAGAAGGTCGCTGGTTCGATCCCTGGTGGTCAGTTGGCATTTCAGTGTGGAGTTTGCATGTTCTCCCTGTGTTCGCATAGGTTTCCTCCGGGTGCTCTGGTTTACCCCACAGTCCAAAGACATGTGGTATGGGTCAGTGTTTCTCAACCATGTACCTAAAGGACCACTGACAATGCATGTTTTGGATGTCTCCTTTGTCTGTCACACTCATTTCAGGTCTTTCAGTACAACTCAGGTGTGTTTAGCTAAGGAGAAATGGTAAATGTGCAGAGCTGGTGGTCCCCAAGCAACGTGGTTGAGAAACACTGGTATAGGTGAATTGAATAAGCTAAACTGGCCGTAGTGTATGTGTGTAAATGTGAGTGTTTGGGTGTTTCCCAGTGTTGGGTTGCGGCTGCGAGGGCATTCACTGCGTAAAACATATGCTCGAAAAGTTGGCGGTTCATTCCGCTGTGTCAACCCCTAAGGAATAAAGGGACTAAACCGAACAGAAAATGAATGATTGAATGAATATATTTCTCCTTTACATTTATTCATTTTCCTTCGGCTTAGTCCCTTATATATCAGGTATCGCCACTATGGAATGCACCACCAACTATTCCAGCATATGTTTTATTTAGCGGATGCTCTTCAAGCTGCAACTCAACACTGGGAAACACCCATACACACACACACACACACACACACATTACATCATACATTGAACTGTGGAGGTGACTGGAGCACCCGGAGGAAACCCACGCCAACATGGGGAGAACATGCAAACTCCACACTGAAATGCCAACTGGCTGGCATTCTCGAACTAGCTACATTCTTGCTGTGAGGCGACAGTGGTAACTGAGCCACCATGCCGCCCTGCTTTTCATTTAGTTTAACTAAAAAAAAAACACTAACATTAAAACTGAATAAATACTATTTATTAATATTTATTTATAATATTAACTGTTTACATAATCACACAGTGCTAACATTTAAAAAACATTAAAAAGTATGTAATATCTAAAATAAAGAAATCATAAGTAATAATAAAAATTGTAATATTGTCATTGAAACAAAAATGAAAAAACAAGCACAAAAAAAGATTTGTTATTAATTTATAGAGTTTTTTATTTATGAATTAAAATTTAGCTAAATTCTTATAATTTAAAAGTATAATTAAGACCAATTAAGATAATATTATAAGTTTATATTCTTATTATTAAAAATATAATTAATAATTATAATTATTTAATAATAATAATAATAATAATAATAATAATAATAATAATAATAATGAATTAGATTTTTTTGTAATTTTATAATTATTTATTTTTAAACAACAAAATTTATTAAAAATAATAAAACTATTTATTTTATTATTATTTATTTTAGAAATTAAATGTTATAATAAATTAATTTAGAATATAATTAAGAATATAAAAAGATTATAATCTTATAATTAAGCATATATTTAATACCACTATACTGAACTACCTAATACTTTATACTAATTTATTATAATATCAATAAGAATAAAAAATAAATATTTTTTACATTTATTTCACCTTCAAACGTTAAAACCGTTGAGCTTTATATTCTTTTTTGTTTTCAGTCATTTAAAGAAAATCCTTGGAGCGACAACAAGAGCACTTTTATGAGCAATAACCTTTTTCTTTAAGATGTAAAGGTTTTCACAGAGCATACACGAGAAAAGAGTTTCAAAATTAAGGTTTTCTCTTTATTTTCTTACTATATTTTTCTATTAATAACTGAATATGTATGAAGAGAATAAAACACAAGGTGAGATCAGAAGATATTCACAAAATGTACCATTTCAGATTATCCTTGCGAGACTGGAGTCCATAACTGCTTTTAATGTGATGCAAATGTAAAACCTCCAAATCATTTCATAAATTCTTTACTCAGCATCATTTCTGCTCTGAAGCTTGAAATGGTTTTCCTTTTTTTTCCCAGATAACACAAACAAAAACACAAACAGCTTGTTAATATCTTTAATATTTACAGTTTCTTTAAAAAAAAAATGTGCCATATCCCTCCCCGACCCATTTCCCAACAAATCCTGTTTGAAAATATTAACATTATCCCCCCCCCAAACCCCCCACCCTAAATTTATCAACAAAAATAAAATGCATTTGGCAAGCTAACTGGAAACTGGCAGTGCTGGATACATAAAAATAATATTTCAAGTGATTTGGTGTAAGAATATCATCTGAATTGACAAAATACAATAATATCCGACATATATTTGTACCCTTCATGTACTGTATATGACGCGTCACACGAATAATACTTTATTTAGTCATTATGTTACCGTTAAAGTTTCCAACTGAACTCCAAACTTCTTGTCTAGAGAAGTAAAATGTGAGCTTCCATTGTTCTCTACAATACGGCGCATATTAAAAGTGCAAGAATGGATATAAAATGGCTCTCTACTGTATGTCTGGGTTATCATGGTTAGACTTTGTACAGCATACGCACAGCAGTTTCCACAGCAACAAGTCCATATCAAATGATAGCTCTACAAAAACAAATGCATTTCAGGAGTGAGTTCCCATGTGAGTCCGAAAGTGCGCTATAGGTCATCTCTAAATGTGAGCGATGTGATCGGATAAGCAGAGTTTAAGTTTGTCCACCACTAGTGCGGTTTTCAGAAAGTGACAGCACCTCAATATCCAGACACAGCTTTGGCTGGAAAAGAGATAAAGAGAGCGAGAGATGTGAAAAGTGAAGAAACAAAGCAAAATAACACAACACAACACAAAAACGACCAACACGTATGAATACAAAAGTAAAACGAGTCATTTTCAGCCATTTTTCCTATTCCAAGAGTTACCTTACTAAATAGTTGACAGGTAAACACTCTCCACCCTCCTCCTCTCTGTGCAGCATGTTATAATAGAGAAAATGCTGAGTTAAACATACTACAACATATGCATGTGCACATGACACACACACCCACACACACCATGCAGATCATATTCATATAAATGCTGCTGAAACAGCAGAATAACACAGGCAGCGCAGGCTTTCAGTGATTAAATGGATTGGCTAATAAACATATAAACGCAGCTATGCAGTCACTCAAACCGTTTTTATAGTATAATGAAGGCACTGTCCACAGAGTACAAGAGACCACAGGCCAATACTCAAATTAAAAATCAATACATTTTTAAAAGGGTTTTTTTAAATCTATGGGGATATTGAAGATTTCCAATATATATACATATATATATATATATATATATATATATATATATATAGATAATTTTATTATTGTTATTTTTTAATATAGTTGAAGGCAGAGTTTCTCAACCACATTCCTGGAGGATCACCAGCACTGCATGTTTTGGATGTCTTCTTTGTCTGACACACCCATTAAAGATCTTTCAGTCTCTGCTAATGCGCTGATGATCTGAATCAGGTGCGTTTGGTTAAGGAGACATGGAAAATGTGCAAAGCTGGTCGTCCTCCAGGAACATGGTTGAGAAACTTTTTTTTTAGACACAAATTTATGTGGTTTAGTATCTTCTAGTAATAAAAGTTTTGGTGCATTAATATAGTTAATAATATTATTCAGAAGGTTATGATTCAGAATTATTTTATATAGCTTTATTTTACAGTTTTAGAAGATACGTTTTGGCACAATGCCTTCCTCAGTGCATGACACAATCCGCTCACTCCACCCTTTTATCCAACAGTCAATCACATTACGTCAATAGTTAAACGACCACTCAATAGTTAATATACTGTAATTAACCACACAATAAATATTTTCTTCACCCTTAAAAGCAGTATCTATATTATACAGGTAAATAACATATCAATTATCATCTTTCACTTATTCATGTCTATGCAATGAACTTGGACAGTCCAAAACATTAACATTTTCATCTCTTTATTATTTACTCTTATTCATTTACTTGAAATGCTTGATTCACGATACTCTTTATTGTGTTTAGTTCATTATCTTCTTGCAACAATGAATTAAACGATGTAGTAATCAAAACTGGCAGTTAATGTTTTACATAATATAAAATCTATTAATATATCTGCATCAAGTTTTAATCGATTTTGCAGATTTATATACAACGAAAATATACTCAATTTAAGTACAGCGTCTGCTTTAATTTTTCAAATAAGATAACAGACAATAAAAATAACAAATTAATATATGTGTAAAATTGTGTTCCATCACAAAGTGTAATTTAAAAATAAATAAATATGAACACATTTTGTACTTATTAAAAGTTATAAAAGAATAACTAATCTTTCTTTTTTTTTACTTAAAAAAGTAATTTGGTAAAACCCGGTGGTCTGAAGGATAGTGTCAAAGTATAACGATTTAAAATTATAGTTAAATAGAATATTCTATATTATTGTTATTATTTTAAGGACTGGTAAGGTAAAACTAGCTAATTCTTATGCTTGGTCAGTCGTGTGCTAAATAATGATTTATTCTATATTAAAGATAGAGGAACCCAAGGTTGTAATCTATTTGTGGGCAGTGCCTCATGGAAAAGTATAGCCAAGAGCTGATTTGGAGCATGATGGGAAGCAGAAAACACAAAGCAGGTGAAGGTGAAACCCTATTTACAAACCTGGTATTAAAGTACATTATCATCAATCTGATCACAAATGGAGAACACCAAATACAGCTAGTACCATTTCTAATTCCACAGCATACTCACAGTGTTTGCAATCGCAGATATCAAAGCAAAAACAAAAGCTCTTGCTCTTTGTTTTATTTTCCAATGTCTCCTCTTACGTTTATATACAAGGTTTTGCAGCAATATTACATTGAAAGGTCAGAAAACGTATATACTCACATCAAGAGTATCATCTTTAAAAAAATCAGTACAGCAGCATTCACACTGGATGCGGAAAGCACTGCATTGAGCTATGAAACCCATTTATTTCAATGGCTTGCATCATGCAAGTGAGATTTGTTGTTGCGCTGACCAGAGCGCAAGCACCTCTGACACCATAGACAAGCTAGCGCACGTGCTTTGATCAAAGGTAAAAATAGTTCAACTTTTGCAAATGCACTCAGTGACATTTACCCATTCATTCAATATAAAAGGGGTCTCCAAATAAGCACAAGTAGCAATAAACAGCTGATTTTGTTTATGTGTTTTAGAAATTCTGGAGATCTATGATACTAGCTGTCGTATAGGGACATCTCAATTCAGTTTGAAATATCAGATTTGTTTAAAGTCAGGCAGCTTGTAGTAGGTTATTTATGCATAGGTTACATATATTGTTCCGTAGACAGTCAAATTCACACTCAAAATAGACATCAACTGACTAGACATACAACTGAAGTCAAAATTATTAGCCCTCCTGTGATTTTTAAAAAAAAAATATTTCCAAAATTCGAGCCGATCACGATTTTTTGCATTGAAAAGCACCTTTTTTAAATGATTTACTAACAGCTGCAAGTGCTTTACGCACTGCTTATGTGCCCTGTGTGCCTCACATTTTACCGCATGCTGTACTTCTGCTTGCTGTATCCTCGCAGTTAAAAAACATCAACTCTGAGTGGGGTCACCACAGAGGAATGAACCTGCAACTTATCAAGCATGTTTTTACGCAGCGGATGCCCTTCCAGCCACTACCCATCTTTGGGAAACATCCATACACACTCATTCACACACACACTCATACACTACGGACAATTTAGCCAACCCAATTCACCTGTATCGCATGTCTTTGGACTGTGGGGGAAACCGGAGCACCCGGAGGAAACCCACGCGAACGCAGGGAGAACATGCAAACTCCACACAGCAACGCCAACTGACCCGAGATTCGAACCAGCGACTCAGCGACCTTATTGCTGCTTCGCCTGTTTCAGTTGTTGATTCAGTGATTCAGTTGTTGACGAGCAACATGAAAAAGCTTGCTTCTTTTCTTTTTTTTGTCAACAAAAAAGGCAGTGTGGTGCGCCTCACGTTTTTGAAACATAAAAACACATTCGGTGTGATCAGTCCCTAACAGAGCAAGACATTTTTCACAGTATTTCCTATAATATTTTTTCTTCTGGAGAATTTTTTTTTTTATTATTATTTCGGCTAGACTAAAAGCAGTTTAGATTTTTTTTTTAACATATTAAGGTTAATATTATTAGCCCCCTTAAGCAAATCGTTTTCCTATTGTCTACAGAACAAACTTTTATGTTAAGAAATGTGTTGAAAAAAATCTCTCCGTTAAACAGAAAATGGGAGGAAAACTATACAGGGGGGGCTAATAATTCAGACTACATAAGAAATAGTGCTATAAGTATTAAGCTTTGCCTACTGCACTCTTGACAATGTAGCACAAAGTGTGAAGACCAGCGCAGAGCATTCCGCATCCGGTGTGAAAACCACTTCAAATGGTAGAAAGTGAAACACCCGTTAAAACTCTCCGTTAAACAGAAAATGGGAGGAAAACTATACAGGGGGGCTAATAATTCAGACTACATAAGAAATAGTGCTATAAGTATTAAGCTTTGCCTACTGCACTCTTGACAATGTAGCACAAAGTGTGAAGACCAGCGCAGAGCATTCCGCATCCGGTGTGAAAACCACTTCAAATGGTAGAAAGTGAAACACCAGTAAACTGAAATGTGTCTCCTTCTTCTACTTGTGATACAGTCGACCAAAGTGCATCTTAATACCAGGTGTAAACAGATCCGGACTGTGGTGTCCAATACACACAATCATGAGCTCTTGCGCAAGTGTCTTGCATAAAAGACTCCAAAAAAATGGCAAAAAACAGCGAGTCACACCAAACACAAAGCTCTTTGCAGATTACAGATGGCGATGCAAGCGGTGTTTAGCGACACAACAGTGTGTGCTTTTGTTAATTGCAAAAGACAGCATTTGTTTATAGCTTTTAGGCTTATCAGCACTAAAAACCTCAAATCGCATTCAATTCACACACCTCGCCGTCTCCAGATGTGGAGGCAGTTGTTCGCTGCTCGTGAAGTTACTACTGCAGCATAAGCCTGATAAAGCACAATCATGCAACATGCAAACAGAAAAGGTGCCAAAACACACGGCGAACAATTAGCAAAGGCGCATTGGCGTGCTAAACGGTTAGCGGTTAGTTCTTACTTTGTTTTTTCTGATTAGACAAAGGTGTAGTGAATTCCATTGCTCAGGGGAGGAGGAGCAGACGGAGCCGCAGAGACAGAGACAGGAGCAGAAGGAGGAAGAGGAGGAGGTGGTGGAGGTGGAGGGAGTGAGGTGGGACTGTTAACCGGCGGTGAGGCTGAAGCACAGATAGGGAAAGAAAGGCGCAGTAATACACAGAAGACTACTGCTACAGTCAACTAATGCTAAACACTACAAAATGCTGCTTGTGAGTTCAGAACTGCAAGAGAGGGCTGAGAGTTTAAAGAGAAAATACACATTTTCTATTATTTACACACCTTCACATCATTCTAAACTAGTATAACTCCAATGCTTCCATGTAACCTGATATTACAAATTGTTACCAAAAGTGTACATAATAGTCACTTCTGGAAAAAATGTACACTTTGAAAGCTTTACAAACTTTATATTTAGGTGCCTTAATTACTATGCACTTACCTTTAAATTAATCATTTGGTACATACATGTTTTTTACAGCGTACTTATATATATTTTTATATATACAGCATCCTTATATATTATTTTAATGATTTGCAAACAATTGCATATGCATTTAATTTCCTCAATTACACTGTTGTCCATCCCTTCCTCAACACACTATCTTAAAGGGATTGCTCACCCCACAAAAATATTCTGTCATCCTTTACTCACTCTTTACTTCTTTCAAACAAATTCTACGTAAAAACAAATACTTTGGAAGTCAATGGCTACAGGTTCCTAGCATTCTTCAAAATATCTTTTCTGGTGTTTTTAACAGAATAAAGAAATCATCAACAGAAAGCACCACTTGAGGGTGAGTAAATAGTGTGTACATTTTCATTTTTGGGTAAACTACACCTTTAAACTTATCAATATCAGCATGGTTGTCCCTGAGCTTACCCACTTCAATAGTTGTGCAATACAATATGAGAACAGTAAGTACAAGTTAGTTGACTTTATAAAACTAATATTCACATTTATCAAGGATGAATAAAGCAGTAAACAATTTAACATTCTTATAAAAATATTTATAATAAATGCTCCACTGTTATCATGCTTTGCATAAAGTCATTAAATATTAAATAATTATTTCCAAGATGTTTGTAATATAATTAACTTTACAATTATAATGTTTTCACAGTATTAATGTTTTTTTTTTTAAGGGCAGCCTTGCTTCTTTGATAGAACATCTTTATAAACTTTAAACCTTTGAATATTAAAGTATTTAAAATCAAAGCGTTTCAAATTAATTACACTGTTCTCCATACATACCATAAATTGACAAATGTCTAAAACATTTAATCACTTACAGATAATGTGTAATATTGGGACAAATACAGCTGGAAATGGTTTAAATATTGAGTTATTTTTGCTAAATATCTGTATACCAAAAAAACTGTGAATACATTTACTCTGCTTATCTGAATTTTCCTACACATATGCAGTCATCCTAACAAAGGTGTTCTTCTTAAGTTATAAAATTCTATAATTATTGGTTGAAATATATATTAATCTGCTTTAACTGAACTGATATATATGAAGAGATCAGATGCAAAAACATCTAAGTGCCATGGTAAAATGTCTCCTAAAATGAGCATTTTGTTTCTAGCTCTTGTGTTGGTTCAGTTATTTCACCTTGATGGCAAATACTGTTACTTTCATTGCCTTTAACATGAAATAACTAAATAAAAATATAAGAGGCTGAAAAAAATGGTCATTGAAAAAAACATTTTAGATGGCACTTATTCAGCACTTGCATATATATATATATATATATATATATGTATCTATGTATGTATGTATGTATGTATGTATGTATGTATGTATGTATGTATGTATGTATGTATGTATGTGTGTGTGTATATGTATATATATATATATATATATATATATATATATGTGTGTGTGTGTGTGTGTGTGTGTGTGTGTATATATGTATGTATGTATGTATGTATGTATGTATGTATGTATGTATGTATATATATATATATATATATATATATATATATATATATATATATATATATATATATATATATTTATATATATATATATGTGTGTGTGTGTGAGGTCGTGTGTTTGTGTGTGTGTGTGTGTGTATGTATGTATGTATGTATGTATATATATATATATATATATATATATATATATATATATATATATATATATATATATATATATATAAAATATAAAAATATATATATAAAACAACATTTTAAGGTCTAAGTTATTAGCACTTTTAAGCTATTTTTTAAATCATCTACAGAACAAACCATTGTTAAAAATTAACTTGCCTAATTACCCTATCCTGCCTAGTTAAGCTAATTAACCTAGTTAAGCCTTTAAATGTCACTTTAAGCTGTATTGAAGTGTCTTGAAAAATATCTAGTCAAATATTATTTACTCTCATCATGGCAAAGATAAAATAAATCAGTTATTAAAAATAAATTATTAAAACTATTATGTTTAGAAATGTATCTGTTGAATTTATATACACTATTTTACACTATTTAAGGCATGTGTATTATAAGTAGCTGCAATTAAATGACCTAAAAATTAAAAGTTATAACTTTTCTTACTTATTCAATGTAAAGTAATCTGATCACAGTAACTAGTTACTTAGTTACTTAACTAATTACATCCAATACTGTTAGATTTTCACAGCCAAAAATATAGTCTTGTTTTACCCAAGTTATCAACATTTATATTTCTATTAGATGACTTTTAAACACAGAACTGCTTGGTGGGATTTCTTTAACCTAGGTGTTCTTTCAGCTTTAACCAAGTTGGCATTGGCCCATTGAGCTGGAAGCCTTTTTTGACTGTCCTACCACTGGAAGAACAGACATGACAAATTTATAAAGAGGGTTAGTGAAACCAGGCAATATCACAAACCAACACGTGTTGCCTCCCAGACTGAATATTTCTGTCAATTTCAGCATTCATGAACTAAGTAAAGCAGCGCAGCAGGTGATCAAAACCCCGATCTGCCTCCACAGACGAGATCCCTCACACAAGCTGTTCTGACATGCTCTCCAAAGGAAATACTGTGATTATTGTTGACCGCCTCGCACATTATGATCCAGCGCGTCAGGGTGAACTGACTGTAAATCTGTGTGACTGAGACACGCTGCCGCCTGTCTGAAGGTTAGACCTGGCAGAGTGAGTGAGGCCTCTGTAAGAAGTAAAGATGAAACGATGCTGTGCTTTTATGCCAGTTCAGAAAGATGTTCAAAGTGCTGCCACGGGATGCAGAGTGAACAAGCCCCAGTGCATATTCAACTGGGTCATTGATCGGCTCTGGAAAAAAAAAAATGGCCTCATCAAGAGATTCCTCCCAGCCTGAAAGATCCGACATGTCTCCCAATTAGCAAGCATCTTTACTCGTCAGATCTGCGCTAATAAGGAATAATGTTCAGTTATTAACGTTGCGGTTGATAGGCTTGGCTTTGCTCTTTTTTTTTCGTCTTACTCATCACGCCTCTATCGCCAATGTTTTGAAACGGGGAGGACCGTTTCTACAAACGCTTGCAGGTTGTCAGTGTGTGATGGTTTAGGAAGTTTTATTGACACTGTCAGATTAGAATTACAAATAACAGATTCTGAAGTGTTTTCTTCACATTGACCTTGATCTTTTCAGAGTGCTTGAACTGTCAAGATGTACATTTGAAATCTGAAATTAATCTATTCAAATGGAGCCATACGGGTGTGCACTGACAATTGACTTATGATTCATATATTAACACATATTGTGCACTTTAAACTCCCTGTCCTTGCACTTGCCATCAAATGATTAGTGTTTTGACTTAGAAATGTCATCTAAAATGGACGTCACGGTTTGTGGAGAAGTGGGTAGCACGATCACCTCACAGCAAGAAGTTCACTGGTTCGAGCCTTGGCTGGGTCAGTTGATATTTATGTGTGGAGTTTTGCATGTTCTCCCTGTGTTGGAGTGGGTTTCCTCCGGGTGCTCCGGATTCCCCCACAAGTCCTATGATATGCAGTACAGGTAAATTGGGTAAATTGTGCGTAGTGTAGCTGGAAGGGAATCCGTTGCTTAAATCATATGCTGAATTAGTTGGTGGTTCATTCTGTTGTGGCGTCCCCAGATTAATAAAGGGACTAAGCTGAAAATGAATGAATGAATGTCATCTAAAATTGTTTACCAGTACTGGGCTGTGGCTGGAAGGGCATCTGCTGTGTAAAACGTATGCTGGAATAGTTGGCGGTTCATTCCGCTGTGGCAGCCCCTGATAAATACGTTTCTAAGCTAAAGGAAAATGAATGAATGAATGCTATCTAAAATAGAGTATCCCAGTAAGCAGTTTTTGTGTGTTTAAAAGATATCTAACAGACATGAAAACATAGACATCTTTGCAAACACAAGGTTCAATTTGGAAAACAGATGTCTAACAATAATCCAACAATATTCTAGTCATCAAATAAACAGTAGTTAATGAAATACATAAAATACACTCAAAAATGACGTTTGCTGTTTGTTCAAACAGCTTATTTAAAATATTTGAGCTGAATCAACACACTTCTTGAGTTTTTTGAGGACAAATTAATTGTTTTATGATTAATCCACTGAAATTTGTAAAAACTAATAAGTTCTTCATCTTATCTCAACACAAATCGAAAATGTGGAGCCACATTTTTTTTACAGTGTATGTGAAATCTGTCTAATCTGTCGTGTATGTCTTTTGTAAGACATCTATTAGATTTCACTGACAGCCCAAATTTAGCCTTGTTTAACCAAGACATATAACATTGTGACTTGGTGGGATAAATGCATTAATGGAACACTAGAAATTTGAGGTGATCAATTCAGGCTTGGTTAAACAGCAATCCTTCTGGGTTGGTTTACCTGCCACTTGTTTGCTCTTGAGCGAGGCCTCTGATGCTAAGGCATAGGACATGGTGATGATTCTCTCCTGCTCCTGTAGAGCTGAATCTATATCCGGCACCACCGGCTTGTCTACTGCTGCTGGAGGAGGTATATTCTGAACACTTACAAACAAACAAACAAACAAACAGGTACACCAAAAGTCATTCACAATGAAAAGCAAAACAAAAATGTTCTCAGCATTTTGAAGCCAGTAAGATTTGTATTCAAGCATGCATTCAATTGATTTGCACTTAATTCAAAAGACAGCAAACATGTTTATAAATATGTCCAATATTTTCTTTCTAATAATCAGACAACTTAAAATTAATCTTTTATGGCAATAATTAGTGTTTACCCTGTTTCTAAATTAAAAATGTAAAAAGCTCCAATAATCATGTTTAAAAGAAGAGCTCAAAATAATCATAACCTGGGATAAAATGTAGTGTTAAAAGGCTATTTATACAAAATATGAGTCTAAAATTCAGTCAATAAGCTCACGTGAATGCCTAAACTCATCTGATTTGCCAATGTGTTCAGAAGTTCAACAGAAACCTCTGCGACTGGTTTTAAAATTCTGTCAGAGAGGTACTTTTATTACTTATTATTACTAAGAATCTTTTCTGATTGGTTTGTTAAGATGAAGAAAAGTCAACAATTTGAAAAAGAAAGTTTCAAAGGAATTAATGTTCAGTGGTGATAAAAGACAGAAAGTCAATACAAATTTTAAAAACGGACACAGCTCTTTACTTTTTTTACTTGCTAAAATCCAGCATCCCCCCCGCAAAGTCTCATGCTAGTGTAATTAATAGCAAGAAAACATGAAAAACAGCAGTGTCAGTACCTAGATTTAGCCAGGATGCTCTTGATTCGTTCCACTTTTCGATGTCGGGCCTCCATCTCCTGAGGACTAAGGGGCTCCTCTGGATCCATGTCTACATAGCGCTCAGGGATGGTGACCTTCTGTGGCTTTGACAGCTAAACAGGCATTGAGACCAAACACAACCTTTAATCACTTCATATGGCAATCTTTTATCTCTGTATGTTTATTAATACATTCATTTTCTTTTCAGCATAGTCACTTTATTAATCTGGGGTCACCACAGCGGAATGAACCGCGAACCAGCGACCTTCTTGCTGTGAGGCGACAGCACTACCCACTATATCACACTGTTCCACCTGGTACTTAAGTTTAATTAATCTAAACTTATTATAGTTATATAGGAAAAATTACAAATATATATAACAATTTACTGTCTTATCTGGGTTGAAATCAGCAAGGTTTGCTTTATTCTCTGGAATACAGGAGTAAGATGTAAGGCCTGTGCATGCTGTACTTCATTTTCCATATTTTGCTCAATCACGACTGTGCCCATACACAAAGTGGGTGCACAGACATTGTATAGAAGATATTTAGAGCCAATAGTCTTAAACATAAAACTTTTTCCACATTTTTTAATGTTACAGCCTAATTCCAAAATGGTTTAAATTTATTTATTTCCTCAAAATGCTATAAACAATACCCCATAATGACAATGTGAAAAAAGATTTTTTGAAATTGTTGCAAATGCATTAAAATAAAAAATAAAAACTGTAAAATGACATGTACAGAAGTATTTACAGCCTTTGTTCAATACTTTGTTGATGCACCTTTGGCAGCGCATCTATCTTTTTTGTTTTTTTGAATATGATGCCACAAGCTTGGCACACCTATATTTGGGAATTTTTTTCCCATACTTCTTTGCAGGACCCCTCAAGCTCTATCAGATTGGATGTGAAGTGACCGCATACAGCCATTTTCAGATCTCTTCAGAGACTCTCCAGAGGTCTGGGCTCTGGCTGGGATACTCAAGAACATTCACCAAGTTGTTGTGAAGCCACTCCATTGATATTTTGGCGGTGTGCTTCGGGTCATTGTCCTGCTGGAAGATGAACTGTCGCCCCAGTCAGAGGTCAAGAGCTCTCTGAAGCAGGTTTTCATTCAGGATGTTTCTGTACATTGCTGCATTCATTTTTCCCTCTATCCTGACTAGTCTTCCAGTTCTTGCTACTGAAAAAATCCCCCCAGCTTGATGCTGAAACCACCATGTTCACTGTAGGGATGGCATTAGCCTGGTGATGAGCGGTGCCTGGTTTTCTCCAAACGTAATGCCAGGCATTCACACCAAAGAGTTCAATCTTAGTCTCATCAGCCCAGATAATTTAGTTTCTCATGGTCTGAGAGTCATTTAGATGCCTTTTGGCCAACTCCAGGCGGGGAGTGGCTTCTCTACCGTACAGGCCTGATTGGTGGATTGCTGCACAGAGAGTTGTCCTTCTGTAAGGTTCTCCTCTCTCCACAGAAGAGCGCTGAAGCTCAGACAGAGTGACCATCGGGTTATTGATCATTTCCCTGACTAAGGCCCTTCTCCTCTGATCACTTAGCTTAAATGGCCAGCCAGCTCTAAGAAAAGTCCTGTTGGCTTCAAACATCTTCCACTTACGGATGATGGAGGCCGCTGTGCTCATTGGAACTTTCAGAGCAGCAGAATTTTTCCGTAACCTTTCCCAGCCTTGTGCCTCAAGACAATCCTATCTAGGAGGTCTACAGACAATTACTATGTCTTCATGCTTGCTTTGTGCTTTGACATGCACTGTCAACCCCGGGACCTTATATAAACAGGTGTATGCCTTTTCAAATCATGTCCAATCAACTGAATTGACCACAGGTCAACTCCAATTAAGCTGCTGAAACATCTCAAGAATGAGCAGTGGAAACAGAATGTACATGAGCTCAATTTAGAGCTTCACGGCAAAGGCTGTCTATACTTATGTACATGTGGTTTTTTCAGGTTTTATATTTTTAATAAATTTAATATTTTTCTCAGCTTTGGTTTGCGTTTGAACAAAAACTGGCAGTCAGAATTTGCCAGGGGTATGAATAATTTTGGCTTGACTCTATACACACAAACATATGGCGGTGTAAAGAAGTGGTTTTCCCTTCACTGGTTTCTTATGTTTTTTGCATATTTCTCACACTTTAATTTTTCAGATCATCAAAAAATATTAGCCAAAGATAATAAAAGTAAACACAGGATATTTTGATGACTTTCGGCCCTGCTTTCCATACAGTATGTGTGTGAATCTCCTTCTGATGATGAACATGACATTTTAGGCTTTAGGAGTTCAAGAGCTTCCTTGAACTCACTTCTACTGCACATTTTCTGAATACAACAAAAGTACATGGTGATGAAGGCTTTTTGTTGATATCAGAATCTTCTTTTTTGGGCGAACAATGCCTTTAAGCAGTAGGGTTACCTCTTTGCTGAGGTCAAGCTGGTAGTCCAGAGGCTCTAGATCCAGCTCTCTCATGGGTGTGCTGCTCAGGGTGAGCCATTCATCTGAATGAGAGCGCTGTCTTTCTTTGTGCTCCACTGGTCTCTCCTCACCCATCACAGCTCGCTCCAAAAGCTGCAAATCAAAGTCCTGCTCTCTTCTCCACTGAAGGCACACAAACACACAGAGCCCTGAAACAGCCAATCTAGAACTCACACATACACACCTAAAGTTTTGTCTTGTATCCAGTCTAAAAATCTACAAATTCTTAGATCAAGAAGCATTTTCTAGACAAGTAAAAAAAACATTATACCAAAATACATTTCTCTTTAAAACAAGTTAAATCATCTGGAAGTTGCATAAGTAAAATAATCAAAAAATAGTTTATTTTGCTTAGCCCACTGGCATATTATTTCAACCCAGGCTCATTCTGAAAATGTACCCCTATAAACATTTCTGGAGAGCACTAAAAACATCCCAGGAGGTACTTTTTTTGTAGTTTTATTATCTCATATCCACCAGAGGCCACTATGTAGGCTTTTTAAGACCTCAAATGTCTCTTGCAAGCGCTATTTGTGCCTGCTCTTCTCATGTAAATCCACCAGGGGCCGCTGTCGACTGACTGACCAATCAACTGACCCACCCTCCTCCTTGCCAAAACCCAACCGATAGCGTTTTCAAAAGCACCAATTATGCAGGGCAAAAAAAAAAAAAAAGTATACACAGGAATCAGAAAGTAAAATTCAATACCTTTTAAAACATTTTTTAAGACTCTTTCCATACATTAAGACCTTAAAACCACTTTAGGTTTGAACCGGAAACACTGGTAAGATTATGTACAGTATATTTATTTAATTTTAATGTAAGAAAATAATCCAAAACTGAAACATTATTCATTTACTGAAAAGAATTCTATTTTAGCTAATTCAGCAGTTTGGCGCCTATAGAACTGCAGAAATAATGGTGTTGACTTGATTACTGCAGTAAACAAAGCAGCATGATGTCAAATCCAGCAGGAGTTCACTGATTTCATAAACTACACAGCATCCTCACACAGATTTAATTCAGGAAAACTTTAGCATACAACCATACATTGCATCAAAACTGATATCAAATTTAATACCTTACAAAATAGCATTTTAGGCCTTTTTAATACTTTTTAAGGGCCTTAAATTTCTCTACATTGATTTATCAACTTTTAATACTTGTTAAGACTCCGCGGACACCCTGATTAATGGAAGATCATGTAAAAGGATGTGTTGCTTTAGGTTTCTTTCCCTGATTAGGGAATTTAATGCAAAGAATTTGCTGTAAAAATGTCTGACAGCTGTTGTAAATTGTATCTCTTTGCAATAAAAAAAACTTAAATAAAAAATGAGGAAAATTTAGACCTGTTTAAAATTGATTTTAAGACTTTAAAGTGAATTAAACACTTTTTAATTCCTAAAATTTTGTTTTTGAAATTTAGGACATTTTAAAACTTTAAGACCCCGTGGACACCCTGATTAATCATAGTTTAACATTTAATAATGCATTATTAACATCCAAATTCAAGCTTGTTAACATTAGTTAATGCACTGTGATTTAACAATGAATGAATATATTTTCATTAACGTTAACTAACATGAAAAAATACTTTAATAAATGTAATGTTGTAACTGACCCAGCTGGAACTCAAACCAGCGACCTTCTTGTTGTGAGGCAACAGTGCTAACCACTGAGCTACTGTGCAGTCCTGTGTTCAAGTTAGTAAATGCATTAGCTAACATTAACTAACACAATCTTATTGTAAAGTCGGATCAATTATTTAGCTTGTTTTAAAGAGAAAAAGGTTTAAAATTGAAATTCTGAAAACCAGACAACAATTGTACTTGTCTAGAAAATTATTCTTGCTTGATTTAAATTTTTAGATACTTGGATTAGAAACTAGACAAAAACCTTAGATAAGTGAAGCATTTTAGCTGTGAGAACATCCTATCTAACAGCTTGTTTTGAAATGTTCATTTCTTGATTTACAGAACAAGTAAAGTGAAGCATTTACAGTTATAATGCCTTACTTAGACAGAGCACCCTATGTAACCTTATGTAGCACAACTTAAGCTAAAATGACCTCTGTGCTCAGCATATCAGTTTACATCCAACATCCATTCTTCACATTCAATAAAAAGCTGAAAAAGCAAAGCCCTGCACAGAAACAACACACACACAACTGAATCGAATGACATCCCTGAGCGTAATTGTATATTGTCCCAGCGCGCTCCTGTATCATGTAAAAGTGATTGGAGTGATTGCGTGTGAAGTGTCTCGTGTTCAAGCTCTCAAACCGTAGCACACAACACTCCTACGGACCGAGAAGGATGGAATAAAAACCTCCATCTGCGACTTCATTTACATGCTTCATTCGCAGGCTTTATTGTGCTTACTGGAAAGAAAATAAACCAGCGTGTCATGAAATAAACTGCGGTTTTACATTCACAGTAGACAGAAAAAGAACAACTACTTTCTTTTACCTTTTTACTAGCAAAGCGTTTATTTTTCTCATGTGCAAAAACTCTACATAAAAGATAAAGAGAGGAAAGCAGAGGTGTGCAATTGAGCTTCCTTTTGCAAATTATGCTACAATATTATATCATTATGACCATACAACTGATTAAAAACATGCCGGAATTATTAATACATTCTGTATATCAGTCATAGTGCACACTTTGAAATACATTTTGGTAAAACAAGGAATAAAAATATTGAAACAATATTTTTTTAAATGAAGAATAATAACACAAACCAGGAAATCTAGAAGTCGCATTATTTGTGTAATTACATTTCAATTGATATACATGATCATGCCACTTATTCTCTGCACATTAAATGCTCTAGAATAAGTTGTGAGGAGAATATATTGCAACTTTTGTAAGCTTTACAATTAGAAAGCCAGAAGCAAATAGTGAAATTGGGTGAAATTAGTGTAAAACTAAAAATATTAATAAACAAGTAAAGTAAGCACAACAGAGTATGGTTTCACGATTTAGTCGCACTATAATTATTGCGGTTGAGTGATGAAGAGCTAAAAGGCTTGAGAGCTTGAAAGTCAGCTTACTACACAAGTCCACTAATCCAGCAGACCCTGTTGTCTATCATTAAGAGCAGTAGGTTATTGTTAAACAAGGGTTAAATGAGCATATGGATGTTAGTGCTGGCTATTTAGTATTCAACACTATTCTGGGGTGCGTTTCTCAAACAACGACGCAACTCGCGGCTGAACTATAATAGTACGGTGCATCGATTGGGTAAAGAACGATGTAGTGACGAGTGTTTCAGAAAAACCTTTAGTTTCTGTGTCGCAGATCCATCGTTTGAACCATGTAAGTTATAATGTAAAACGCCCATAATGATGCTCTGAACGAGGTGGTAACAACTTCTTTTGAAGAGAACCCCATCATTTCTTTGTGCAAATTATATCGTTTTACACACACACACATTTAAAAAAATAATAACCCAACATTAGTTTTGGTAAAAACATGCACTTATTTTCCATAAAAACTGAAATATATATAAATGGCACATTTAGAGCCTGTGTTTCCTTTACAAATCTTATTGAGAACATTACATATTCTATTCTAAATGAACATAAAATCACTTACAAAAGATAACACATATTTTAATATCATATATAAATCATATAAACAAATAAGTAAGGCTATTTATTAAGAAATTTAAATTAATATTTATTATTTAATAGGAAATGAAAAAAATATTGAATTACTTTAATAATAACATTAATAATAGTAATGTTGATTATGATGATGATTATTAAGTAGGATATTGTTTATTTTTTTGAAAAGTCTACTTGTTCTAATGTTCTAACCATCAGGCCCATGTCATATACAGCAGATACTTCATAAATAACCCACTATAAATTAAAAGCATTAACAAATGCTAAGTTTTTTTGTTGTTGTTGTTGTTGTTTCACAAGTTTTGGAGACATAACGTAAATTCCGCTTTTAAATAATAGGTCACCTATAGCTTTTGTCATGAGCCATGGCTGTGTTCAAAATGACATCAATGTTTTTAATGTGCACTGCGAAGGGAGCGCAATTGTACACATGAAGATCGCTAAAACTGAACTGTAAAAATATTCTGAAAGCAAATTACACGAGAGATGACTTTAATGCTTTTTTCATTTTTAATAATTTCAAGTTTATATGTCAGAATGTTCTAAACGAATAGGGCATGGGGAGAATAACTGGGAATAGAACACAGTCAGGAACTATGTTTCTAACTACAACAACAGAGGTGTAGTTGTAAGCATACAAGTTTGTGACGGATTTGACGGATGACGGATTTGGCAAATGCCAAATCATCGAACTATGTTGGTAACTTGCGACCTTAGTTGGCTAACGATGGTTTTCGGAAACGCACCCCTGATTCACTATACCAGAAGAGATGGTTAAAATTAAACACTCCTACATGTCATTTGAACATTTTGAACCATCCTCAGAGTGTAATACGAATGAACAGCACATCAACTTTCATTAATACTCCTCTAAACACATAATAATAAGTCTTTCATTGGCAAGTAGCATCCTGTCTGTTCTTATCCCAAAGCCTATCCATGTGGCTCAACAACATATGATAAAAAAATCTCTCCCATCTCCTTCTGCAACACCTCCCACAAACACACTTACCTGCGGCAAACGCTACCTCATTAAAAACGCTGATCGCTTTAACACCAAATCTTACAGTTCTCCATCAAAACAGTGTAAATAGCTGAATGTGCATTAACGTCAGGGTGACGGTCCTCTCTGGAGGATCAAATGTGTCATTGTGCTCTTAACATACTGATCCCAGGTCTGCAGAGACGGGTCTGGAGGTGGAGGAGGAGGAAGCGCGAGACGTGGAGGCCTGCCGCTCGCCCTGGCTGAGGGTTCTCTTGCGCTCTCGTACCAGAGCCTTTTGGTGGCGCTTCATCCTCTCCAGCTGCTCTTCTGCGCTCATGCGTCCGCGCTGCTGCACAGGCTCTCCGGAGTACAGACGCTCCAAGGCACTCTTTGGTCTCTCCTAGGAGACATCGAAGGATGAGTTAATATTGCCAGAATGAACTGCGCTAAAGAACAGCACGAAGAGAGAATATGCTGAAACGGGAGCAATATTGTATGCCAAATTGAAGATGTGGAGGAGAATGTAGAGTCATTTTTTTATTAATTTCATGTTGTGTAAAATTTGTTTTTTACTTTTTTTTGTGTGTTTCTCTTCACTGGCTTCCTGTTCATTTTTAGAGTACGTTTTAAGATTTTAGTTTCACTTTTTAAATCCCTAAATGGACCAGCACTAAGGTACCTTTCTGCATTAATTAAACTGTGCACTCTATCAAGGGCACTTCAAGAGTTCACACTTAGCTGATGATTAACTATAAAGCTTGTTTGGCATGCTGTCCCAGGAGAGAGCCCTGAGCTCATAAGATCCTCAAGCCCGGGGCTCCCTCCCATTTGCAAAGCAAGAGGGGAGTTTGAGCTTAGGTAGATCTCGAGAACTCCCCTGCTGTAGAAGCTAATGAACAGAAAGGGGTTGCTCTTAAAAGATAACTACTTACCAGGGGCATGTCTATGGTGCTGATTTGGATAAGTCAATTAACTTAAGTTGCATGTTTTTGTACTGAGGGAGGAAACCAGGGGAACCTGGGGAAAAACCCACGCGATCATGGGGACAACGTGTAAACTCTGCACAGAAATGTCGGCTGTCTTGGTAAGGACTAGAACCAGTGACATTCTTGCTGTGAGGCAACAGTGCTAACCACTGAGCCACCATGCCACACATCTAGGAAATAAAGAGGAGTGGGGTGGAGGAGGGGCTTCTTCAAAATGAAGATAGCTGTGATATTGAATTTTGGGTATTTATGGTGGCTTAGGTGAATCATAAATTGGATAATGCAGGACCAGCTACAAGCAATCATAAGCATATGATCCTCTTAAAATTAGTTTATAAATAAACTTCACTTAGATGTGCTGTCAGTTACTTTTGGCTGTTCCAGGCACAAAGATGAAATTCAGGACAGGACAGTGTTTTTGCAATGGTTGCCTCAAAACTTCGGAATAATGTGCCTCTCCGTGTTAGGCAGGCCAAAAACCTTTCTGTTTTCTCTTTGGCTTTTAATACCATATGAGTGTCTTATGTCTGCGTTATTTGTTGTTTGTTTTAGATGCTTAGATGTGTGCCTATACAGAACTATGGTAAACACTTGCTGTTTTTTAAAAACTCTTTATAAATAAACATTAACTTGACTTGATGTGGTTGAATTTGTTGCTATTTTTAATTACACTAAAAATCTATGGTCAGTATAAGAAAAAAAAAACTTTAGAGTCAGCAAAAAAGAAAAGAAAAAAATGGAAACTAATCTACATTCTCAAAAACAAATAAAGGGCCCCCAAAAAAGCAGCACAGCTGAGCACAACAGTACTCAAAATCTTTAATGATGAAAAAATGTTTAGATTAGAAGGAAGTTTTATTTTAATACAATGTTTAAATATTTATACAACATCATGTATACGATTATACTTTATATTCTGTTAGTTATTTGTCTTGATTGCAATGTTTTTAGTAAAATGTTAATGTGTTTTTTATTCTAAAAAGTTCTGACAACATTTGTTCTAAACAGCAAATAAAAATATTGTCATTTCTAAATGTATAATAATTTTGTTTGGTTGTTTGTTTGTTTGTTTGCTTGTTTGTTTTAAATGACTACCATTTTATTAAGCTAAAACATTGGTATTGTCTGAATATTAAAATAAACATTTAAAACGATGATACATTTTTGTTAATACATTTTAAAAAGTAATTTTAAATAATAATAATAATAATAATAATAATTTAATTTGAAATTTCAAAATATCAAATGTAGTTTGCAGAACAAAGTTTTACCGAAACACATTAGTATAGATTGTAAATATCGATAACATTAGAATCAAATGGTCGCAAATTTTTCCGTATCTGTCTGCATATACATTTTTATTAAAGTGTGCTGTTTTAAATGCATGTAAAATTGTCAGTTGGCAAGAGACAGGGAAGAGAGGAAAGTTTCAGGAGTGCATTTTGAAGCCGCTATGCTTATTTGTGTTAACAATTTCTACATGAATCCATCAGGGTGGGAGACACACACTGTGTTCACTCTGCATGGCAACACTACCACAGTAATTTATTCGCAAAAAGTACAGTCGGGCTCAAACCCACACTGGCTGCTTTTATTTCATGCGCTCAGCGGTTTGCACTGCTGCTGTATCTCATCGACTCCGCCAAAGCAAACCATGACAGACTCTTTATGTCCTCTGCCTCCCAATAGACATCTCTGGGACTTGTTTGACGTCCTACCTTCAAGCTTGTGGTGGTGAGTCCTCTTCTGAGGGTGACAAATGATGAAATGTTTGATGACTGGTTCAGTCTTGAAGAGGAGCTTGTCAAACCTAGCAGAATTGGACTGGATTAGGCAAATGTTTCAGACCTGCTAAAATACTACTATAATTGTCCATCTTTATTGTGCTCACTGAATCAGAAATGTATGACAAGACTGCACTGTTTTATCACAAAGATTTTTGAATTAAATAATAGTATTTATTTAAATAACTACTTCAACTTTTTTTATTCATTTTTTGAAGGCAAGTCTGTTTTTGGCAGTCATTATTTAAACTGGTAAGTTGTGCTTGTGTCATTGAATGCCTTTACTGTTATTTTTAATCAATTTAATGCATCAGTACAAAATGAAAGTACCAATATCTTGACAAAAATTCAACCTGTCTGAAACTGTTGTAGAATATGATAATGCACAAAATTATAATTTTTCTAAAAAAAAAATCATGAAAACATTCATTACATTTCCATAAGTCTCAAATGACAAAATGTGTTTAACAGCATTTTGCCATTTAAAAAGTATATATTTGAAAAAATAATTGGTGGTAAAGATTACATATGCAACATTTCAGCTTATAATAATATAATTTCACAGCTAGCATCTTGTAGCCGAAGTCAGTGGTTTCCAAAGTTGAGTTTGTGGGACAATGAGGGGGGTTGGGGCCACTTGATGATTAAAAAAACAACATGCAAATGAATAGTCATCAGCCTTAGGATTTTTTTTTTATCTAATTAATTAATTGATTTATTTTTTCATTGGATTGAGACACCTGGGGTAATTTTATGACATCGGACGCAGCAGATTAGTTTTATGGCACCAGGTTAAACTTTGACACTTTTATGGCACTCACTCTGAACTACTACTGAATTCACTATAATCTTCTATGTGAAGCTGCTTTACACAATCTACATTGTAAAAGCACTATAAAAATAAAGATTAATTGAATTGAATTGAATCACGTACATTAAAAATAAATACAGGCCACTACTGAACATGAAGGATGGTCTCCGAGTGGCGGTCGCCAAAATTACACCAAGAATAGAATTGGTGTTTGTGCACCTTTATTTGTAAGGATTGTATATTTATAACCACCACCAGAATGTTGGGGTTCACAAGTCACTGGCATTATTTTTTAAAGGGTTGCAGGCTGAAAAGTTTGGGAAACCCCTGGTCTAAGCTACACACATTTAACAACAACTTTCAAACTTGAAAAATTAGTCAAAATTTCTGCTTCATTTGAGAATACAATAATTAAGTACACATAATAATCAACTATTTTCTTGCATGTTTTCACATTACCATTGAATCAGGCAGTGGTTTGCATTAACCAAGCTCCAATTAGTGTACATATATATATTCCATCATGTGTGTACCTCTGTTTGGTAGAGTTTGGTAGCCACTATCACGGCTCAAGCCCCCAATCTGTCCACCGACCACCAGCAGTTCAGGCTCGCTGAGGAATGCCCGTATCTCAACCTAGATTTCCAGGAAAACAGATCTCAGGACTCAATTAACATTGAAGTGTGGCTTTATCTTGGTACTGTTCAGCTTGGCACAAACCTTGTGATCTCCGTTAGAGAACTGTCCGATTTCACGATCGCGCTTGCGCTCATCAGACTGCCGTTTCAGACCCCGAACTGAAGTGTGTCGGATGACAGAGGTCTCTTTGGGCAGAGGGGGCACAGCTGGAGGGTGTTCGTCTGGGCTGTAGAGGTGAGGGAGAGGCGGTCTGGGAGGAGCATCTTCTTCAGGCTGAATACATACAGATAAAACATCCATAAGTTTAGATAAATGGACTGAAGTGGCATTTGGTTACATAATGCTTCCCTCGCTCCGATTTAAGTAGGAATCATGTTTAAAGGTGTGGAGCTGGAGTAACAGAGGGATGCTGAAAGTCGAGAAAATATGGAGAGAGGACATGTTTGGTTATTTATATGGGTTTGGTGTTAAGCTGTTTGTATTATAAAATGATTGTCAACAATGAATTAGCCTTGTCAAAAAATCTGAACATGCTGGCAATGAAAATTCAGTTTGATGTTTTCATCCAAACTCATGTTTAAGTGATCACTTACATTGACTTTTATGTGTTTCAAAAAGCCAGCAGAATAATAGATTCTGTGGATTATGATTGAATTTGACTAACTCACCAGCAAAAGCTTAATATTCCTTAAATTAGAAATACTAGAAGACTATCCTAAACACAATTGGGACTGAGAGGGTAAAGTATCAATAAGAGGGATTCTCTGTAACCAGAAACTTTTAGATGGTATTTTAGTTTAAGATAAAATTCTTAACAAAAGAGATTGAATTAGCTTTTTTGTATAGTTTGTATAGTTGTGGTCATAAACCATATTTAAATTTAGAGTTTTCTTAATTCAAATAAGTAGAGGCTTGGACCTGGAAATAGATTCCCAATTAACAAACGGATAAGCACTGCATTTGGCCAGCCACAATAAATAAGTTTTGATGTGCAATACATTTTGTTGTCACAGAAGTTGCGATAAGTGATATTATCATCATTCTAACCATCACTGTTCGACAAATCGTTTTTTTTTTTCAGCTCATATTAATATTTTTCTAAAAATGTATTAAATTTATTAAGTTCTGTTTTTTGTAAGAGGTTTCTGCAGGTTTCACCAAGTTAAATGTAACACTTTTAAAGACATTTATGAGACTATTATGAATGAAATTTTAAACTTATAAAGGGCTAAACGCTAAAGAATATTTCAAATGGCCCAGATGGAAAAGACTTGTATTTGCCCTATTAAAAACAATTAAAATGAAATACCTTTAATAATACAATAAAAATTTAATAATAAAAAAATAAATATTTTTGATTTTTCTTGCAAATTATTTTAAATATTGTGTAAAAACAAGCAAGGTCTACCTGTACCCATATACTTTTATTCCAACAAAAAATTCCACCATTATAAAAAAAAAAATGAACAAATGTTTTTAAATCATAATAAAATTAATCTATGAACAACAATCTCTCCAGGTCAGTGTCCTCAGCAATAAACACATGGAGCACTTTTAAACAAATGTTATTGTAAGGAAAATAACTAAACCATTTTAGTAAATAGAGTAAAAAAAGTTTTATTGAGATAAAATGTTTTATGGGTGTTGGCTAGATTGGGAACAATAAATAAACAAAGGAAAATTAAAACCTAAAATCAAGCAAAAAGTGTAGGGTAGCTTAAATAATGTGCTGCTGCTCTTTGTGTAAAGGATTCATCAGAATAAACAGCAAAAATCAGTCCAAGGCACTCGAAAAATGTGAAAAAAATATTTTTTTCTTAAATGAAGGCCTGTGTAAAAAAGACTTAAGACAATAATACTTAAACACAATATTTCAGTCAATTTAAGCCTTTTAAGGCCTAAATTTTTTATTTTGATATTTGAGACATTTTAAGACTTTTTAAAAGCCAGCAGACACACTGAAGTATCAACAGGGAGTCTTCAGAAAATTTAAGATGATATCTTATTTTGATATTTATTTGAAAATAACAGCACAGCTTTTTTTGTTTACAGCACTAACCAAGGAATTCAGCCACCTACTGAAAGAGAGTTAATAGTTTTATTTTAAGTAAATTTTTCATGTAAAGTTTTTCATTCATCAGTATCAGAATTAGTTAATTTCACTGTAAAATTCAAGAACAGTGCATCACTGCTGGTTATTCAATTTCACACAATAACTTACCCATTTTGGCGTGAGGGCTGTGTGCGAGAGTTGCAGAGGCTGTTGGGTACATGGCTGCACAGGGCTGAGATGTGGGCTGGGTTGAGCAGCTTTTAGTTCCCCCATGGACGGGCTGTCGGAGAGCGAAGGCACTGCGGACAATGACGCTGAAGGCACGAGTTTCCTCTCTGGGTCACACAAACATCCCAAATGTTTACAAAAACAAAAACACAGGTATTATTATCAGTATGATCTGTATGTGGGGTCGCATGTGATGACGTTTGGCCTCAATACCTCTGGCTGTGTTCCAGTGCATGGGGGTGATGGCAGGAAGGGGGCCGCTCTCACCTGGATTACGCACTGAGTCAATGATCACTCTGTAGTTTGCTTTGCTTGAGCTCAGGCCTGCGAGCACATCTTCGATCCGCCACAGTTCCTTCCTCATTTGAGATTTCTCCTGCTGCACACAAACACAGATTTACGTTTGCATGGACATCATTAATTGAATTATTTGCCTTAATCTAAATAAGGACAATAATACGATTAAGGTGTTTACATGAGTTGCTTTTCATGATCCCATTTTTTATGTAATAGCACATAATTCAATTAACATCATTGTGTCACCATGCTATCCACATTTAGCATATAATTTAGGGTGTTTCATTTTTATTTGTTGACTTTAACTGCAGTTTGAGACTTACACTTTCATTCAGGAACATTTAGTGCATGCTCCCTGTGACAAACAAGATATTGGATGCGAGTATGAACTGCTGGAAGAGTGTTGTTTTAATGGACGCCATATGGGAAAAACCCTCCACATTTCACAATGCAGGCATCTTTGGTCCTTCATTGACTCGATAGGTGAAGAGAATAGTGTCAAACAGCTGTGTGTGTATTAGGGATGCACCGATCACAGTACTTGGATTGGATATTGGTTCGATACGTGAAGTTTAGTTTTAAACAAATTTTGAGAGGAGCATGTGCTCATGATTTACCCAGCTGGTCCACATTAACTAATTATGATCCTCCAATCAAAGGATCCCAAATCACTATATATATCCTCATTTCCTTTCTACAACTATCTTCGTCTGGAAGAAACCCCCCTCCTCCCCTTCTTCCTCCTTTATCCAGAATGGGCGGCACGGTGGCCCAGTGACTAGCACTGTTGCCTCACAGCAAGAATACCAATGGTGTTGGGTCCTCGCTGAGCCATCTGGTATTTCTGTGTGGAGTTTGCATGTTCTCCCCGTGTCCGCGTGGGTTTCCCCCGGGTTCCCTGGTTTCCTCCCACCATCCAAATGTGCTCTATATTATAGATAAAACAAACCTAAACCTTTTTTATAATGTCTTACTCTCAGGAAGTTCGCCTTGGCCTCAGCAGCGGGGGAGTTTGAGATAGACCTGAGCTCAATCTCCACTCGCCCTGCAAAAGGGGGGGAGCCCTGGGCTCGAGGATCCCTTGAGCTCAGGGCTCTCTCCCGGGACAGCATGCCAAACAAGCTATGTATAAATCATGAGCTAAGTGTGAACTCTTGAATGCATATTTTTTCTGAATTGGCTATCGGGCAGCTGGTACCGTTTCAAATCCGATTTTGCACGTGCGCTATATTCTGTGTAATTTATAAGCCACCTAAAGCCATGAAGGTAGCCTATTATAAGGCAATAGAAAGTTGTCATGTAGGCCTACTATATCCCAAAAGACGCCATTCTATAGTGTAATGTGAAGCACAGATAAATTTTCAAATGCTTAAATTTATGTTCAGTTCTATGCTTCCAGAGGGCTGCGCGCTGTGTCTCAAGCGCTTATTCATGCACCGGCTGCACAGACACGACATGCGCCGCTCCGTAAAATTATTCCCACAATTGGTTTCTGTTCTCTGACTCTTCTGAGTTTGTTCTTCTGAGGGGAATACTTTTAGTGCTGCGCATAGTTTGTTAAGCCTGGCTCATTGTGGTCAAAATAGTTGATTTATTAATAAAAGTGAAACTGACGGCCCGACGCATAAATATTGTCATTAACAGGAAGTTATTTAGCCTAATATAGGCTACTTAGAAATTGTGAATATTTTACTGTAATTTTATTTATATTAATATTTTATTTAACAATTTGTACGCTGAAGCATATAAGCGGACCCTGTTTTGAACTTGACCTCAAATATTCTTGTTTATTTTGCAGATAACTGACCAACAAAAATCCATTAAAAAACAACAAATTATGCTAAATGAAATTCGCTTTAATAATATATATTTTTTAAGACAAAAAAAAAATTTCAGACATGCTTTTAGGTTCTCTATCGCAGTCACTTCGAGTTTAGGCAAGGGATTATAAAGTAAAACTGACCTCAGACAGTTTTGCTTAGTCTGCTTCAAACCTGCAGGAAAATATCAGACTTTGCTAAAAGAAAAAGGAAACATAAGCTGGACCACAACAGATCATATCAATGTCATAACGAAGGCTCAAATAATGTAGTATATAGCTAGCAAACGTTATGTTTTTATTAGTTTGTGCCGTCTGTCATATACAGTAGGTCTATAGGTCTGTATCGGTCGAAACTCAGAACTTTGTTATCGGGATCAGATCGGTTAAAAAAAATGGTATCGGTGGATCCCTAGTGTGTATAGACTATCCTGAAAATCTTACAAAACAGTAATAGTTTAATTAAGGTGTTTACATTTCTGGACTGCACTTCAATAATGTAACTAAAATCGGCACACTCCAGGAAATTAGATTTCTGTTTAGTTTGATTTTGACTTTAGTCAGATTAAGGTAATCAAAAACCACTGCAATATTGGTGTCTATGTAAACGTACTTACTGTATGTAGGATAAAATAAAACAAAGAACTCTGAATAAAGTAAATAGAAGAACATATTCCCAGATATACAGTAGTTAAAATGACTAAAGAACAAACTAATCACCTCAAAATGCACTACAAATATGCTTTTCTTACTTAGATGTCTTGTTTCTAATTCAAATATGTAAAAGTTCTTAAATCAAGAAATATTTTCTAGACAATAAAAACATACAATATTGTCTGTTTTAAGTAATATGTCAAAATTAGTTTAAATATTTTTCATCAAAACAAGCAAGATAATCTGCCAATGGGTTAAACAAATTAATCTAATGTAAAAAGAAAAAAACAAGAATATTTTGCTTACCCCATTGGCAGATAACTTGTTTTAAGGAAAAACTCACTTATTTTTGGCATATTATAATATATATTACATTTGAAAATGTTTTCAACACTGATCATAATAAAAAGAAATGTTCCAAAAGGATCATTTTGTAAGAACAAACTAGAAAAAATGGTAAAAGGTTTTGAATAACACGAATAAATTACTTTTCAGATTACATATTAACACAGACAATGTTCCCATTACAAATATAGAAAACCACTTTTTGACTTTCAGTATTCAGGAAATAATATAATATAATATAATATAATATAATATAATATAATATAATATAATATAATATAATATAATATAATATAACATAATATAATATAAGGCGAGGCAGTGGCGCAGTAGGTAGTGCTGTCGCCTCACAGCAAGAAGGTCGCTGGTACGAATCTCGGCTCAGTTGGCGTTTCTGTTTGGAGTTTGCATGTTCTCCCTGCCTTCGCGTGGGTTTTCTCCGGGTGCTCTGGTTTCCCTCACAGTCCAAAGACATGCAGTACAGGTGAATTGGGTAGGCTAAATTGTGTGTGTGAATGTGTGTGTGGATGTTTCCCAGAAATGGGTTGCAGCTGGAAGGGCATCCGCTGCGTAAAAACTTGCTGGATAAGTTGGCGGTTCATTCCGCTGTGGCGACCCAGGATTAATAAAGGGACTAAACCGACAAGAAAATGACTGAATAAATGGTAATATAATATAATATAATATAATATAATATAATATAATATAATATAATATAATATAATATAATATAATATAATATAATATAATATAATATAATAAAGAGTAGAATGAAATATATATATTCTTATCATTGTGATCACTGTTAAAATAAATATGATGACCATGAGGCTTGTCTTTGATTTTTCTAAGAGGCAAATTTGGAGCTCAAAGGGGGCACTGAAGAAAAGGATAGGATTTTCTCTTATTTGTATTTTTATAAAAAACACAAAAAAAACATAATTTATTGACCATGTCTGTGTGCACTCTCACACAAACACTTGAGAAATCAATAATCTTAGACACTGTATGCCTTGTTCTTACGGCTCTATCACACTGATCAAAAACTGACATTAGATCTTCACTCCGGCTCTGAGAGCTGCATCTCTCTTTCATCACTTTGTTCTTTCTCTATCAATTACCGGACCGAGAGGTGCATGCTGAATAGAAAAGGAGGCTGACACGGTTTAACATCTTCTGCTACACACTCTGCTGCTCAAACACTGTCAATACTTAAGTTTGGAAGCGCGCGTTAAAGAAGTAAAACTGAAATAGAATTTTCTGGGCTTTAGTAAAGAAAGACTGCCTGCCATTGATATCACTTATAGGTGTGTTTTTCAGCATGTCTCTGGTTCTGACCTGAGAGAGAGCACTGTGGGTCATCTGGTCTTGAAGGGCTGAACGCAGTCTGTCTACATCTCTCTCCAAGTGGCTGTACTCTGACCAGGCATTCTCCATCTCCTATTTAACACACAGCAGAAAAATGACTGATCAAAGGAATAGAAACCAAAATTGTACATTAATTCACCTTTCACTAATCATCCACGCGTTCCAAAGGGATTTGCAGAATTTTTGTGTTTGAACCTGAACTTATAACATATAAGTTAGAGTAACCAAGACCGGCTGCTCACTGAAGATAAGCAGGGCTGAGCCTGGTCAATACCTGGATGGGAGACCACATGGAAAAACTAGGCTGCTGTTGAAAGTGGTGTTATTGAGGCCAGCAGGGACGCTCAACCTACGGTTTGTGGGAGCCCCAGTAAAGTGAAGGGGATTCTATACTGTCAGTGAGTGCCATCTTTCAGATAAGATGTTAAACTGAAGTCCTGTCTCTCTGTGGTCATTAAAAATCCCATGGCACTTCTCATAAGGAGTAGGGGTGTAACACCAATGTCTAGGCCAAATTCCATCGGTCTTTATCAGCCTCCCAATCATCCCCATCCACTGAATTGGCTCTATCACTGTCTTTCCACTCCAATATTAGCTTTTGCGTGGTGAGCGAACTGAAGCAGTTGATATAAATATGAATTAATACACATATTACATATAAATATACAAAAACACACAAAAAAGTAAAAATCTTTTTTTTTTTAAATGAACTTCCATAATTAAAATAAGTAAATAATAAGGTTATGTATCAAACATCAATTAAGTCATGTATATGTATTGCACAATAAGTCAATATATTAATTATTTTGACAGGCCTACACTGCATTCAAATTCAGTCCCAGATAAATTTATTATATACACATGGATATTTTTGGGGTGTGAGTCTCTTACCGTGGACACCTGTGAGATGTCTGCCCTGATGTGGACCACATCCTCTCGTAACAGCTTCTGTTGGTAGGCAATCTTCTCTGCATGGGCAGGCTGGTCCTGGTACTGCTCCATCTGCTGATGAGAAACATCCAGAACTGACTCCAGCTTGTCCTAGTTAAGGTAAAACAGACACAGATAAAGATGTTAGAAAGAAAAGGAATTAGAGATGAGACACACTAGGGCTGTACACTAATATAGAGGTTTTCACTGGCTTGTCCTATAATGTACCACCAAAAGTAAAATCTGCAACGAAACATCTAAAGCTGGTTTTATTTAAAATGTCATTTTAAAAGTAGGAATAAACAAGAAACAGAAAATGTAAAGCTAACAATTGGAGGTTGCCACTTTCAACATATTCAGTAAATGACATTTTCTTGTAATCAACAACCAACTGACTTCATAAACCAAAACATTCCCACTATAACCACCAAATCATATTGAAAGTTAAAGTTTTATTATGAGTGTAGACAGCTTTGGGACATTATTATATTTATATTTGCCTTTATATAATTTTTTTCTAAATGCTTTTATTTAATGTTGTTTTATTATGTTTTTTTTCTTCTAAAAATAGTATATTTTTTTCCAAATCAGAAATATAGTAAGAATAGCAATACCCAAAAATATTAAAATGTTAATTATTCCTGTTATGGCAAAAATTTAATTTTAGCATCCATAATCCCGTTTTCTGTGTAATAAGATTCTTTAGAAATCATTCAGAAATTATACTATGCGGATTTAGTCCTGAAAACAAGATTTCTCATTGTTTATCAATGATAAAACACCTGTGCTGCTTAATATTTTCATGAATGCAGAAGTCATCTGTAATTTTTGCAACATAATTTTTATAATAATAGATGTCTTTATGATCACTTTAGATCAATTTAATGCATTATTGTTAAATATATTCATAAAATAGCTTGAAAATAAAATATTTTGAAACTTTATAAAATACATTATATTATCATTCTAAAAGTTTTTATTGATTTCTGTAAATTCATGTTCTCCTAAAATAGTTTTGATTATAAAAAATAAAGTAAAAAAGCAATACAGAGAAATATTCAAATGTAAATTATTTCTGTAATGACACAAATTCACATTCAGCAGCCATTATCTAGTTTTCAGTGTCATAAGATTCTTTAAAAATCATTCACATTCAAACAATAATTAACTAATACGGTTCTGAAAAACAAATTCTGATTATTTATTAAAAATAAAACAGTTGTGCTGCTTAATATTTTCATGAAAGAGAGATCATCTGCAATTTTTGCAACATTATTTCTTATGATAATAATAGATATGTTTATCGCCACTTTAGATTAATTTAATGCATTATTGATAAATAAAAGCATACCATCAACAATTCTTTAAAACCTTTAATTCTTTGAAACGCTTTTAGAGCTTTGAGGCTGCTTTAGAATATAGAATTTAGATAAGGAAAAAAACCTGTACCTTATCTTCTTTAAGTGTGCGTATCCTGGCCTCCAGCTCCTGTAGGATCTTGTCTTGTTCGCATAACCTACTTAGCTTTACCTGGGGAGACAATCACAAGCAATAATAATAAAACATGGCCACCAAACAAGAGGGCACGACAGAAATGAATCACACAAACATATCAAACAGAAGGCCGACAGAAAACATTCTTCTGCTATTCCATATTCAACATTCGCCACCATTGAAGATGTTCATTAGCATAAACTCCACGCACCCAAGACAATTTTGGTGTCATTATTTGCAGAAACAAACAGCATTTTCTCAGTGAAAAATGGGTTATAGGGTATGTGTGCGCGCATGAGAGACAGAAGATGCAGAAGTGTCTTGTTTACGGTCTTCCTCGCGCTGCCTGTTTATTCTCCACTGTTTATCATTCCTTCCGATTAATTATTAAGCTGTTATTATTTTACCGCCTCATATTGTTGTTTTAACAGCATTAAAAATTCATCACACGGATAAACCCACCAACAAAATTCTTATAAATTGTTAAACTGAAACAATGTTAATGATAAAAAGCCAGGATTTCCAGATTATTTACCTCTAATCAAACGGAAAACGGAGAGAGCACTGGAATACAAAAAAAATCAAGCTGAAAAATTTACAAGCCTAAAGTATGAAACTCCCCTTGCATGTATTTTTCTCTTTAAATTGAGCATTGAATATAAAAAGCCCTCGTCAATAATTTCAATTTCTTCTGCACACAGACAGCTCGCTTCTCCCCACAGCATACACCGCTGCCTCGTTCCGATGCCTGTGTTTACTCGCACAAATTCAGGCTCGAGTACTGGATTTTTCTGCAAATGCAATTGGAGAGCGAGAGGGGAGACAGGGGTCAAAAAGCAGGTATTAATAAAGAGAGGTGAGAACTCACGTCTATGTCACTTTCTGCAATTTTAACAGGCCGAGGCGGTCGATCTTTAAGCGAGTCACGTCCGGTTACCTGTTGACAAAATGCAAAAAGCTCATACACTTTCAAAGACTGGGCATTAACATCAAGACTATGATGCTGCATTGATTTTGCCTATTGACAAAAGGGCTGTTGAAATCAAGTAAACAAACTATGCTTTGGCGAGAAAAATAAAAGAACAAGACCGTAATATGTTGTGATGGGGAAAAAAAATGTAAAAAACAAAACAAACCAACACTGTTTTGGGAAGCTCAGCGATGTGTTTACGGACAAACAGCAACTGGGGTATTTGGGGATAGCCGCAATGATCCACCCTAAGCGCTGCTCTTTCGTTGGCAAAGTATCAATACTTTTCATCGGGTGAACTTGACATGAACCATGTGGGAGGGAAGCGTACGACAAGCTGCATCCCCACGAAAGACTATCATTTAGTGATAAACAAGGGTTAGCTAAAGGATACAGCATAAGTAAGAGCAGCTGTCGGTAAATGTTCACTCATTAACAGAAAACCTCAGACTCTAGGATCATTTATTGGTTCTTTAAGAGATCGCTCAGTCCAAAACTAACACTCTTAATGTTCCATAAGATCCTTAAGACATAAAAAAAAGATAATTTTAATTGAAACTGAACATTTTCGGGCCCTCCATTGAATGGCTGTTCACAAAAAATTCTAACAGTTCAAAATATCCTTAAAGAGCCCCTATTTTGGGTTTTTGAAAATTATCTTCCATGCAGTGTATAACACAGCTCAAGTGAAGTAAATATCCATTAAATATCCAGCTAAGGCTTAAATATGAAAGTGTGATATGTTTAAAACTATTGATTCATTTATAAAAGAATTGACCTATAGTGGTTAGAATGAATCGCCCCTGTAACGAGTCTTTAGCTGTATCGGCGTGACGTCGATAAAGAAATTAAGCCCCACCCATTTTTGCGTGCGCAGACCCGGAAGACAAACACTTTAGCAGATCCCGATTGAATCAAGTCACGTAGACGCTGTGCTCCGAAGTGTAAGGAAAAGTTGGTGTTATTTTCAATTCCCAAAGATGAGATTTGGTTGAAGTTTTATTTTGCAAAAATTTCCTCAGCATTATTGCCCCAGCCTTGTGCTGTGTTCCCGTCATTTTTCTGACGAGTGCTTCAGCAATCTACACGCTTTCAACAGGGATTCATCGGCTGTTTGTTAAAGGAAGAATCAGAAAAGACTATTGATGTATGGAACCTTGTCAGAGCTTAACAGGAATTTTACAGTACACAGTACTGAAATACGGGAGACTTCTGGGAAAAACGGGAGTGTTGGCAGGTATGCTCACACATACAATCTGCACTCAGATTGCTTCAAAATTGTTAATAAGTCTTGGTAGGTGCTATTTAAACAAAAGATCAGATAGTTTAATCTTTCGATGAGACATGATTGGTTATTGTGACGAATTGATTCATTTTGGGCTTTTATCTACATACTGTATAATCACAGATCAGCAAATACAAACAGAAGCTCAACCATACCTGCTGGACATGCAGGAAGTAATCTCATTGGTTCTTGCCGAATATATATATAGTCTGTCAGGCATGATTGCGTGAGCTATCATGACCTAATTTGAATGCAGTAAACATTGTTTACTGATAAATGTTGTTTCTGAGAGAAAAAAATCTGTTGATATTATAAAGTGACTTCATGCCTTCATGAAACATAGCACACTTTCATATTTAAGCCTTAGCTGGATATTTCACTTCACTTGAGCTGTGTTATACACTGCATGGAAGATAATTTTCAAAAACCTAAAATAGGGGCTCTTTAAGGATATTTTGAACTGTTAGAATTTTTTGTGAACATTTAAAGTGGTCCAAAACCGTTCATCAAAAGTTGTCCTAAAACTATTGAGCAACACCTATTCTTGACTTTTTCTTTTTAAACAATTTTGAAAAGCATTCTTGATCCTGTTCAAATGTTTGCTACAGTATATTAAACCCTCAATTAAAGGGACAATTCACTTAATATTGAAAACAGACTCACCATTTCATTCCAAATACAAAAGAAGATAATTTGATGAATGTTGGTAACTGTAGAAACTTACATGTATAGTAGATTTTAAAAAAGTTTACCAGTTTTCAAAATATCTTCTTTGTGTTCATCAAGATAAAGGAAATAAAATAATTTTAGGACCAGTCATGACAAAACTTTAATTTTTGGATGAATAATCTATTATTATTATTATTATTATTATTATTATCATCATCATTTTTTTCAACTCTGAAATCTGGACTTTTATTGACTTTCATGAACTGATTTTGTTTAAACTAAAAGGTACTAAATGATGAATGTATTTCTTAAGACTTTGCAACAAAAAGGTTGAGTAATTAATGTTCATTTTGTGAACACCACTGTCTTGCTTGGGTTGGGACTTCTGGAGCTGCGCATCGATGGATATGATCTTCAGTGTGTGAACAATCAGTAATGAAATTTAAACCACACTGAACAAAACTCTGAAATCTGAATTTTACTACAACTTTCATGTTAAGCGACTTTGACAAAATCTACATTGTAAAAATGCTATATAAATAAACTTGAATTGAATTGAATTTGTGAATTACTATTTATAATAAGCCGTTTTCTCAAAATAGTTACAATAGATGCAATCTCATTGATCGGAGCAGTATTGATATGTTACCAAAAGAACAACCTTGGGTGTCCTTAAAGAACAACAACAAACAAATAAAACAAATCTGTCAAAATAGCACATGCACATGATTTGGCAAGACCCTACAGATCATAAGCAAAAGCACGCAACAACAGCGGTCCGGTGGGAATTACATCACTGCAGCAGGTGAAGGCATGAAGTGGTCACATATTGTGCACACCATCCATACATTCAAACAGAACGCACTGTGTACCGAATAGATGAGAGGCTCAATACTTTTCATCTGTTTGAAATGAAGATAAAAAAGTTTTCTGTGAACTGTGGATATACATGTAGGCAAAGTATACATTTTAAATAAGACTTAACAATTCCAGCAAGTAATGCACTCCACATCAAACAGGATTGAAAAAGTTGGTGACCATAAAGTTGACAAAAGCTGAGATCATTTACATAAGTATAAAGGCAATTAGGGCTGCAAAATATATTTAATTTGCTAAAATGTTGTAAAAAGAAAAAAAAAAAATCGCAATTATTTGAGAAACATAAGTATATGAAAAATATTATTATTTACTAAAAAAAAAACTATATTTAACATTGATGCAGAATCTGTAGCACAGATTATTTTAAAGTAAGTAAAAATAGGGTCAGATGTTACTATTGAGAAAATTTCTGTTTAGAGTTTTAAGTTTTTTTATTACACTACATTGTTGTGTTTTAAAATGATATGTTTTGGCAAAAAAAAAAGAAATACCAGTAAGTTTTATCTTTTATATACGCTCAAAAATTGTCTTTTGCGACTTGGTTAAAAGACTAGAAACAACACAATTCTGAAAGGTTTTAGGGGACAAATTAATTGTTTAATGTTCAATTCATTTAAATTTGTAAAAACGATTAAGTTAATTTATCTGCTTTGTGTTGGGACAACATGAAGGAATTGTGTGGAACCCAGCATTTTCTAGAGTGTAGCTATAACAAATTTATCAATATATTTTAATACAATTTATTGCAATGATTACATATGTTATTGTACATTATAATAGGAAATACCAGCCTGATCTCACGAGAAAACGTAAGTATTTTACATTTTGTCAGTTTTTTGTCAGGCTAATTCGTACGAATTCGAACAAGTTCAATCGTACGAAAATGTACTATTTTTAAAAGGTGTGGCACGCAACTCCACCTCTAAACCCAACCGTCATTGGGTGACGAGTGAATCGTACTAAAATATATGAATTAGATTGTATGAATTTATACGAATTAGCCACTAAATCAAAAAGTGGCGAGAGATTGCGTTGGAAGTGCTGATATACGAGAATCATTTTCAGTAATGTCTACAAAATGAGTCAAATTCATTCATTGTGTGTAATATTACAGACTTTTCTGCACAGGTTGCTGACAATATAATAATATAATACAATACAATACAATACAATACAATACAATACAATATATTATAATATAATATATTATAATATAATATAATATAATATAATATAATATAATATAATATAATATAATATAATATGATATAATATAATATAATATAATATAATATAATATAATATAATATAATATAATATAATATAATATAATATAATATAATATAATATAATATAGTCGCACGCAGTGGCGCAGTAGGTAGTGCTGTTGCCTCACAGCAAGAAGGTCGCTGGTTCGAGCTGAGTCAGTTGGCGTATCTGTGTGGAGTTTGCATGTTCTCCCTGCGTTTGCGTAGGTTTCCTCCGGGTGCTCCGGTTTCCCCCACAGTCCAAAGACATGCGGTACAGTTGAATTGGGTAGGCTAAATTGTCCGTAGTGTATGTGTGTGAATGAGAGTGTATGTGTTTCCCAGTAATGGGTTGCGGCTGGAAGGGCATCCGCTGCATAAAACATATGCTAGATAAGTTGGTGGTTCATTCCGCTGTGGCGACCCCAGATTAATAAAGGGACTAAGCCGAAAACAAAACAAATGAATAAATAATATAATACTTATTTTATTAATATATAATAATAATATAATACACATTTTTAATATCATAAATTTAACTTTAAATGCAAACTTACAGAATTGTCTTATAACACACTGAATTATTAGAATCGGTTATCTTATGTTCTTCAATATTGTGCAGCCCTATAGGCTAATGATGCCAGTGCACATGGGAAAGACTATTGAGAATCAAATTCAAGTGTATATCAAATATCTGTCCTCCCATGTCTTAAAATTTGCAGCCATCATTAGTCATAACAATCATGCATGCGCCAAGACTTTTACTGCTGAACTTCAGCATAAAAATCTGTTTTCTTTCAGCAGTAAAAGCTTCAAAATCACACATTGCTTCTCTGTGGATATTGACTGATGTAAATTTGAGAACTCGCTCTACACGTCCTTCAGGGTTAAAGAGCAGAGCAGCTGTTACAGAGACTAAGGAGGGGGAATAAATCAGAAAGAATTTGTGCCTTGAGGAGAGAGGGAGAAGATGGAAGGAGGAAGAAGGTGAAGGCAGATCCACAAGAGCCCACCTTCAGGTCTAGATACTCCAGGTCCTTCTTCAGCTGGATGTAAGTGTCATCTGCCTTTAAGTGAGAAATTAAGAAAGTGGTCACAACATCTGACTAAGAGCACAGCCAAAATCTGATTGATTTTCATGCACACGGAAAATGCAAATTCTGCTTCATTTACACATGGGTAAGTGCATGTAACATGAGTCATTCGTTAACCTGGAGTATGATGTTTTTTTTTTTTTTTTTTAACTATCACTATCATTCAAACCTTTTGGGGGGGGGGGGTCATTCATTTTTAAGGATCCAATTAACTGATCCAAAGTGACAGTAAAAACCGTAAGAAATTTTAAAAAATAAAAAGATGATTTTTTAAATAAATCATTTTAACATTTAAAAATTTCTGAAGGATCATGTGACAATGAAGAGTGAATAATTGCTGCTTGCCATCACGGGCATAATTAGTAAATAATATAAGAAAACAATGTAACATTTTTACTCTTTTAACCCTTTTAGTTGTACGAAAATTTCTCAATAATACTGATTTATTAGTTAGCAAAAGACTTCTTTAGGTTTTTTAGGGACATTTAAAAAATCTTACTGATCTCAAAAATACCTACTATTGACAACAAGCTACAGTTTTACTGAAAAAAAAACATTTAATGCCCTAAAATATAAATGTGAACTCTGCAACTGATGAACTGTAGAAGAGATTGTTCAACCAAAAATGAAAAATCATTTCAGTTTCTTTGCTGGAAACCTGTAAATATTGCCTTCCATGGTACTTATTTTTTCCAACTATGGAGGTCGAAGGTTACATGTTTTCAGCTTTCATCTAAATATCTTCTTTTGCGTTCAACAGAAGAAAGAAAATTATAAATGTTTGAAAACAATTGATGGTTGAGTAAACAGTGAGTACATTTTCATTTTTGGGTCAAGTATCCCTTTGATAAACACAGACTATGATTTTTTTTTTGTAATAAATTAAGAAACAATAATAAAATGGATCTCTTTTAAACAAAGTTCAAGTACCTGTACTACAATCAGACCCCCTAGTTTTTAAAAAAAAAAAATTTGTGATTTTTTGTGATAAAAATTACAGATTTTCTGGTGGTAATTCCCAGAAAGTTACGGACAATTTGGCAGAAAAAAAAAAAATATATATATATATATATATCTTATTTATCATATTTGATAGCCTACTAAGTTAGGTGTGCAATCTGACACAATGAAAATGGCACGAATCTTAAAAAAATCTTCTTTATTTTGGTCTCTTGTCGAGATAAGATCTAAAACAGATCTAAATTGGTAGAAATTAAGCCAATGAAATGTTGTATAACTCTATATTTATCCACGGTTGTACTTTCTCAGATTTCACTACCTGGAGCATCTGAAATCATGTACCTCACTCAGGACATGCGTTAAGGCTTCCGCAACCACAATACACCTAAAACACGGATTGCCGTAAAACTCGTCAATGGCACGGAAGCGTTTTCTCTTGTTAACTGCAGGCAAAGAGTTAAATGAAATAATTTATCGATTTGACACACATCATAATACTAGCCATAGATGTAAAGCACAAATAATGTACTTCAACTCGGATACATCCAGCAGCCATCATCCTTGGACCAATCTCCATCAGTGTAAGCTGCTTGCTTTTCTGTCTGTTTGTTAAATGTTTACTCTCACTTTCTTTTGTAGTCACAAATTGGCCAATTCGTGCTAAAGGCTGTCTAATCCTTCGTGAAACTCATGCTTCATCCGCGTCTGCTTATTACACAGGTTACAAAACACCCCCCCCCCCCACCCCTCCATGTAATGTAATGATTGTGGAGGTGCAGGTGAGACGTCATTTTCCGAGAGCCACTCAATTACATCACATGCGCTGCATATGCAACGTCTATAAGTGATGTAAAACCATTAATTGAAAACTAAAAGAAATATAATTTGATTATATGGTTTGGAATTGGATGTTTAATGAGATTATCTTAATTTTTTGCAATTATTTCGAGATTAAATTAAGAATTTTCCTGGATTGGAAACATTTGCGACTTTTTGTTGATTTTGCTTTGGCTCCAGCAAGCGCAAAACCGCGAAAAACTAGGGGGTTATTTTACAACAATGCTGTAGATGTATAAAACCTAGTTTTAATGTAAAACCTATCAAATGTTTAGACTTTATGACATATTCTATACCTAAAACTGCATACATACTGTACAAGTAAACCAGCAAGGGTTTCAATGTTTGCTGTTCATGGGAAAAAATCATGTGAATGCAGGCAAGTCAACAAGCAACATGCTGTTAACAATCTGAGGAGCAATCTGGAAATCCAAAATACAAGAAAGGAAGAAAATACAAAAAAGTCCAAAATAAAACAAAACAAAAAAAAGCAAAATGCACAGAAAAAGATCCTCAAAATCACAAAACAGGCTGTTAGGTCAAAGTGCGCAGCCCAAGCTGTGTTGTGTTCTACTGCAGACTCAATACTAACGGAGAGCTAAGAACAAAACAAGGCAATCACAACTAGAACCAACAGCGCACAACTGTAAAGATGAGTACAGTATGAGGGTTTAGGAAAGAGGGGCATGATATGCTCAGATGAGGGGGCGGGGCTCAGGGTGGGTTGAGGGGGGAATGTGACCCTCTAACCTGCAAACTGGGGCCTGAGAGGCCGTTGTGCTGGTTCTGGAGGTGTGTGAATGTGTCGCTGCGCACGCTGGCCAGCTTGGCCCGGTGTCTCCTGAGCTGGATGAGCAGCAGAGTCAACTCCTCCGGCTGCAGGACAGCGGGGAGACGGGAGAGAAAGCACTTCAAGATCTGACAACCAGGGCGGCGCCAAGATGTTGTGAAATTTGGCCAATAGGAGTGAGTTCAGGAGAAATTTAACTGACAGGCTTTAACTAAACATTTTAACTCGCTGTCTCAAAATTAGAAAACAAAAAATTCCTCGTGGCCGAAATGTCATCTAGCAAGCATTTTTTTCCTAGATGGGGACCGGGAAAATACTTTTTTCAAAGGAAGTCCTACCGTTTTTCCATGCAGACTTGGAGCGCTGACTGTGTGTGTGATGTAGCCCATTGTTGGCATGGATCTCCTTTCTAGTTGTGAGGTCTGTGAAGACACAAAAGCAGACATAATGGTTTATACCAATGTAATAATTTAAGTACTCTCACTATTAGAGTGTGTGGGGAGATTTTGTCATCAGTACATAAAATGTGTACATTGTATGTTTTTGCACTATATTGTTTGGTTAATACTGGTCCGACAAAACGTAGACAAAACAGACTTAACAAGTGCAACAGAAAATCTAAGCAGCAATTGAAAATCAAGCTTTGGTGGTATTGTTAATCGGGTGGGTATACAGGCCTGTAGCCAGAGGTGGTTCGAGTGGTTTAGACAACCCATCTCCCTATGTTAACGGTCAAGAACTTGTCAGGTTTTTTGTCCTGTAAATGAGCTCCCTTGTCCAATTTTGACTGATATGCCAGCATAAATTGTGGAGAAAATAACTGTTCAAAGAGGATTTTAGCACCAAGCGGAATCCTTTGCTAGCTGGTTACTTGTTCACCTTCAAATCAAGCGGCACTCATACTATTCACCATCAAATCAGCCTAAAACTGCCATCATGGTGTATTTTTTGACTTCAGCACATCAGTTTGGGACAATGCAAACAATTAGTTTTTAGAAACCCAACTTCCAGCTGCACAACAAAATGTCCAATCTACCTATTTGTTGGGCACTCATTCTACATTATTAGATGTTAGTAAGCAGTTTATAACTGCAGATACAAATACTCTATTCTTGACATAAGTATGTTTAAAATGTGCTTAATAATTGTACTTTCACACTCTGTTATTGATTGATTTTTCATGACTAAATTAAGTATTGCATTATTATATTGCATTATATATGATATGTATTTAAGAATAGTTGTTTTTTTTTTAAGATCATTCAGAATGAGTTAATAAATAATTAATAAACTAACCAAATTAACATTTATATGGCTATTATTCAGACATAAACTGACAGTTAATTATTACTGTTAATAAATGCTTTATTAACTCAACTTGACCTAATCTAAAGTGAGGACTATTTATGCTTTGTAAAATCCTTACAAATGCCAAATTAAAGGCTCAGTGTCAAATGAACAATACATCTTTGCAATCTTACCTAAAAAATATAAAATTACTGTAAAGTTTGAACATTGCCGAATAACAGGAGTGTCAAAATATAACATAAACTGGACAAAACCACAACAAAATAATAATTTAACAATATATTATGATACGACATTTCAATGTTATTTAGCAAAGTCTTTTCATTTTGAATAAGATTGCAAAGATGTATTTTTTATTTGATACAGTTTCATTTGTGTATCTTCAAATAAACAGACATTAATAATATCATTAAAAAAATAAATCCTGTTTAGAATATACCGGAGCCTTTAATTGTCCTTTATTAGTAATTTACAAAGCATGAATAGTCCTCACTGTAGATTAGTCACAAAACTGGATAAAGTTGAGTTATGATAAAGCATTTATTAGCATACAAAATAACTTTTAGTATATGCTTGAATAAAAAGATTAATAAATGTTCATTGGAATATTTTTTTATGCATTCATTCATTTCTCTCAAATAACTGTTATAGAAATGATGTGATACTTAATTTAGTAATAAAAAAAATTAACAAAGTATGAAAATAAAATCATTAAGCACATGTAAGTCAATAATAGAGCATTTGTATCTGCAGTTATAAACTGCTTACTAACATCTGTTAATTTAGAGTTAAGGTTTAACAAACAAAGAATTAACTATTTGCCAATGCTTAACAAATTATTCATAGTGTGTAGTTATTATAAAGTGTTACTAAAACATTCCACAAGTAGGATTCTTAAACATGGACTTCATTCTGCCAACACAAAATGACCAAAAAAAAAAAGGGTCAAGCACCAAAAGCAGTCCATTTTATACTAAAATACAATTAGTAAAAAATTAGACTATTTTTATTATCCATGAAGTTTCAAATTACTTTTTTTAAATAGGCAGGAAAAATCATGAAGCAACTCAATATTACTATTATTATTTTACTATTATAATAATCATTTTTATTTTTTAATCATTATGCTGTTGTTGTTTTATTATTATTATTCCAATGGCCAAATTCAGAATTTTGAGAAAATAAGCTGAAATTAACAGATTATTATTATGTTTTTTTCAGTTATTCTTATAATTGATGGCCATTTGTACTGTAGTACTGTAAACACTGACATTTCATATTTCTTTACTCCAATTTTTAAATTTTTTTTTACAAGCTGTAATAGAAAACCTAGTTTAAATAAATATACACTCAAATAATAAACACTCAAGTACTAACATATGGTAAGCTATTTGACAAATGTAGGAACTATTGTAGGAACAGCATCCACATTATTATCCAACAAGCTGCCAAACACAAGCACAAATTATAAGATAAAATGTCACTAAAATGCAGTATTTAAACCTCATAATAAAATACAAAATGACAGTAATAACTGAAAAAGATAATTTTTTGGAAAAAAAAAAAGGACCACCCTTTCCATCAGGCTGGCTACATGCCTGTACTACTACTATCTCTCGAAGTTTTAATGGCCCATTTACACAGGGCATCAGCATCAACGCTTTCCATTAACTTTAGGTGACGTTAGGTGTTGCCGAACTGCTCGCTGCATAAGTTGGGAATTTCTCAATTTTCCAAGAGCCAGCCAACACATAAGCCAATCAAATCGCTGTATGCAAATGCAT